TTTCACCGAAGGAATTGGATGAATTCGGCGCGGAGGGTGGCGTTTAGCATGGTGCCGATTCGTACGCACCGGTCCGGCTGACTCTCGTCCAGCGCCACGATTTCGAGATCCTCGGCAGGTTGTGCCACCGGAATAGGCATTTTCTCCCTCGAGTCATCTACTGGGTCGTTGCCGTTCGGCAAGTCCACTACCGTGAAGGTCTCTTTCTGCTTTTGAGGAGCTGTCGACTTTAGCGCCGTGGCGTAGCAGTTCCGGGCGCTCAGCTGGTCGCCCCTGATTGCCCCCGTGCCGTAGCAAGTTAGGAACTTCATGAGCAGCATGTGGGGGGACAAGTGGGCCTTTATTGCCGTGAGTGCCGTTCGGCCGATAATAACGTTGTATGCCATCGGACAGTCCACCACAAGGAACTGGTCGTAAACCATGGTCCTTCGTGGGGCTATGTTGAATGCGATTGGCAATCTAACATTGTCGATTGGCTGGACCAAGTCTCCGGAAAAGCTGAGGAGAGGCGAAAGTTGTAGGTTGACCTGGCTGCTATCTACTCCGAGTTCTGTGAACACATTGGCAAAAATGACGTTTACCGAACTTCCAGTGTCGATCAGAATTCGTCCGACATCGAATTCGGCGATCTCAGCTCAGATGATCATAGGGTCGTCATGTGGGTAGATGATCCCTTCCTCTTCTTCCTCAGAGAAGGTGATGGGTTCCCATCTGACCTTCGGCATCTTGGTGTGCCGGCTACTTTCAATGCCGAGGACTTGGGGGTACTGCGTCGCCCTGACATACTGCTTCATTGACCGGTTATGCCCCGGCGAGAGTTGGGCCTCCGCTGATCGTGCTGATCATGTTGATTTGTCGATTGGCGTTCGGTACTGGCGCCTGCTGTGGCCTGGCTATGTACTGATCCAGTTTGCCTTCCCGAATTAACCGCTCGACGATCTTCCGCAAGCTTATGCAATCCTCGGTATTGTGGCTGTTCTGCTGATGGTATCGACAGAATTTCCCTGTATCCCTGCCGTCTTGCCGATTAGGCTTTCGGAACGCTGGCTTCGGGATTATCTCGTTTTCATTCATCAACACTGCCTCGTAGGAGGCGTTGAGCAGGGTGAACACCTCCGTTCCTTGGTTATGCGCTGGTAACGGTGCCCGGTAGCTGTCCCTACCGTACCTGCTCTTGTTTTTCTTGGAATGCCCCTTTTGGGAGCTTCCGGTATCTTTGCACTTGTGGCTCTCAGGGTATCCGGCAGCTTGTGCCGCTGGCGCGAACG